ATCAATATGTACACACAAGGATAGTGACGTCGGACATTAATCATCAATTCCATTACAATAGAGAGAGCACTTCATGGGCATTTATACGGGTATTAACAAATACTGCCTTCGCCTTCTGTACATGGCTATCTATAACGGGCGTACAAATCAGTGCGTGTTCTTTTAAGGTTTTAAGTGTGGATAAAGAATGATACAAATTTTGCTTATTTTCCTTCAAAAGAGATTATTATCTTTATATAACACTAGTGTGACTCAAATAATGTATAATATTCTATTTTATGGACATTACCAAATACATTTTCGAACTAAATCGATAAAATTAGAATCTGTAGTGTTAGCTATAACGAAAATAAATGGATACTTCTGCGCAAGAGGCATTAAAGTCTTTTTTACAAAAACTACATTAATATTTAGATATGAACGCCATGCCAATTAACCCTTTGATTTACGATTATTTTGTTAACTATTTAACGTCCCTTGTCTTGTTTAAATAACGATACAACTCAAAAACATGCAATTACGGTAAGAAACATATTTGAGATTTGTACTTTAGGAAGTAGTTATAAGGATTGCGGTGTTTATTAACAAGTGTCTCTGTTCGCGCACACTCCAATATAGTGTCGAGGTAAACAATAACAGTTATACGTTTAAAGGAATCGTCAAAAGGACCATCTTCATTATAGAAATTAACATAGGTTTGAAAAACGTATTGTCATCATCAACATTTTAAGACGTATCAATATTGAATAGAATAAGTGATTAGGACCAACATTTACAATACCTGTCACAGTCAAAAAAGGCACAAAACAAATTAAATACCACCAGATAAAATAGTATAATAATTTTGGGCGTTTTCCTTCTGTTAAAAATCAGAAAATTCATTTGGATCTTATATAAAAGTTCATTAATGTTATTCTGTTCCATCCTGTCCGTAAAAGCTTTATATTATGTGCAATATATAAAGGGTATGTTTTCTTATTTCTTAATGATGTTAACGAGAAGATATATCATTTTCATTATCTATCATGTTCAAATCTTTGAAACTGCAGTTGATGCATTTCGGAGGACGCAGGTTTTTGTATCCAATACGGCCCTTTACATAATCACATAGACCACTGTGAGTGAGGTACAGGGCATACCTGTGTGTACACAAACTAATGTAAAATACACAGCACTTCATGGCGGACAGCTGGATTTTAATGACAAGTAAACAGTCTGTCACTGCTTCTTTTACGGTAATTTGTATATATAAATACTCGCTTCAAAATTCAGATGTATATCCACAATGTGATGTTGAACACTTAATGTTACACATATGTTGTAGTTTTCCACATTTAAAGGCTGCAATGTAAGACTATCACCATCTCTCTCCTAAAAGACAAATGCTTCCAATCGAATCAATACGGCTGATTAATAACAATTAATAATTTGTTTCATAATTTGTGTCAATAAACAAAGTTAATTTTGTAATTTTTTATTTAATTAAATGCTCTGCATAGAGAGAAAACTTATTTTTAACTGCATTTTAAGTGCATTTGTATTGAAATCATCTGTCAATAAAGTAAAAATACATCTATAATAATAAATGACATCTAAAAGTATGTCTATAGTCTAATTTAGAAAATTATGTTGATCATCAACAAAGACACTAACAGGACTAATCATGGAGCGGAATAGCGTATTTTGAAATTAAGTCAATTTGACGACCTCAAATTTCTCCTGCCTTTTTCTTTTATAAATATAAAGTACTAAAAGAAAAATCATGTACATTGAGGTAGAGTACAGAAATGTCATGTGATTGTCCCATTAAAGTATACTGACCAGTATTTGGCCGGAATCCCTCTGTGCTAAGGACACGTGTACGAACGACCTCGGTCACAGGTTGAAAGACCTCCATTTTTATAATAGACATTATAATCGCGACGCAGATGCTTACATAAAACACCTCACTAATAGTGATCAGTACTGTTGAACGTAAACTGGGATGCATTCTCGTGTTATTGTTTGGAGGATAAAAGCGTCGGTAATCTTGACCAGTGGCGAAAATGCGTTATGGCGTGATCAGAACATAGGGGTCAACTGGTCAATCCAGGTAACAGACCTTTTGCTCTGAATTCGGCCCTGTAATATTCAATGATACATACACACACTGATGCACGCTATAGTGTAGTTTGTTATATATGACACATCTGGGGTATAAATGTGTTCCATTTATCTCTTATGGAGACTACACCTAAACTCAGTTACAATATATTTCAAAATCAGCTGAAATATTGGTTTATTTGAGACCATTATGAAAAATATAGCTTTATAAGAAGACGCTTTCTTATTTTAAAATGACTTCTGCTCCTTTTATGGCAATATTTCACTTTTAAGAAAGTATAAAGCAATGCCATATTGTTTTCTAGCTGAAATAGAACCTTTCATGAACACACATGTTAAAGAAAAGTTAACGGTACAGTGACAGAAGGTTAAAACAGTTTTTGACAAAGACTGGGTTTATGATAATTCGTTTTCTTAAAACTCTCTTTTAATCGAAAAAATGCAGCAGTCAGGTTCTGTACATGACTAGAAAACATAAAAATACAAACCCGTCCCATCGCAAACCATCTTATCAAGTCCAGTACAGATATTCGCTCGCTCATTATAACTATATCAGCCGGGATCTAGCACTCTTAAATATGTCATAAACCTATATTACGGTAATTGGTCACCATATACTTTTTATATAAATATAAAATATTTACTGATTGGAGAAAATAGTAGTTGTATTATGCATTTTGTGAACAAAGTCAATAAACTCAGAGGAAAGTAGTACCATAAAGTATTCCTTTCATATGGTAATCGCAACTACGTGTTTATAATTATATTATGTCCACTAGCTGCCGAATTACGAGCCATCGCCATTTTCACATGACTACAAGATAATATATATGTCAAGATCGGTTATTAATCTTTTCGAGACCTGTGTTAACCTGCCAGGTATCTACAATTGAAGTTTACTGTGTGTATTCTAAAGCCAATGTATTATACAATAAATTATCAGTTTAGTTTGTAATCATCCCATCAGGGTGCAGCACGATCGCCAATCCGAGTCAGGTGCGTGTTTGTGTTGATACTTGACCTCTGACCAAAGATAAATACTTAAGTATAATTCAACTCTGACTATCTGTTGAATTTTCTCCGTAAGTCTATTCTAACGTCAGGACAGGTTGAAACTTATTAATTGATACTCCAAATTTTACAAAACTAGCTGACACTTGAAATGGAGACTTGTTTGCTCTTCTTTGAGCCGTACCCACAAAAAGTTGGCAGTGTTGGGGAAGAGTAAACAGAAAAGGGGTTGGATATCTGACGATTTTTATAACTTCAGTATAATCCGCGGGGACATATGGTCGTGTCACCTCAAATACCGTGACAAAACCTTATCAATGTATCTGTAGCAATATTCGTTTTGAGAATTATTGATTTTTATTTAATAATGTTCCCTTACGATACCTTACAAAGGCTTTATTAACACTAGCATGAGAAAGAGTGACCGGTGGCCACTGCTTTAGACAGCTATGTTGATTCTGCAAGTCGTGTCCACACCTGGGAGATCTCACACTGATGACTTCTCATACACGGTCCTACAGAATACAAACGACCTCGGTAGAGACGCATTCAAGGATCATTGAAATGCTGTGTTTCATAAAATTACAAATCTTTAGAAAACATCTCGCAAAGTTTATACATATTTAGGATAATGTTTTAACAAATAGGATATACTCATACATTGGGGTATTCAAGAAACAATAGGATGCAATATTTAATAAAACTGCCTACTGATATATATTATGTTTATTGAAAAGTTCATTTAACAGGAGCTTGTTACCCTGTATCAGCCGTCACGATCACTGCGGTCGGAGTCAGAATNGGGGGGATCGGCTACATTGTGGAATAGCTTACCATCTGCAATTAGAAAGTCAAATACCCTGGCCAAGTTCAAGAGAGACGACAGTAAAACTCACCTCTTCACGTCTGCATTTTAGAATCTTTTCAAAGACGTTATGTAAATACCACCCTTTCATTTGTTCATTCATGTGCGCATTGCTTGCTTAAATTATTAAAGTGATTCTAAGCCTTTGTTTTTTGTTTTTACAATTATAACCATTACTACTATCCATATGTTGTAAAGCACTTCAGAGTAATTTTACAAATTATATAGGGCGCTATATAACTGTTGTATATCATTATTATTATTATTTAAGATATCGTATAGACAAACAAGTTATCTTATGAAAATATAAGAATATTATAAACACATAAGATATAAAAATATCAAAAAAGCGTATACCATCGCTTTAACAAAGTTATCCTCTGAAAATAAAAGAATCTAAATATAGAAGTTATTTCATAAACATATAAAATCTCTATACAATCGTTTTAAACAAGGGATTGGAATTGTTTCTTAAATAAATGTCAGTTGTCTTGTCATAGGTATGATACACGGATGGTAACGTTATAGCCAATAATGCACTGAAAGTTAAGGTCAATATCGGACAATGTATTTACATAGAATGACACTAATGGTACAAAGGTGTGAAGATAGTGTATATTTGTATTAATAATTTCCTACATTGCAATAAAACTTCGATTCCTAACTATTATTCGGCGAATTTTATGTGTGGTGAACCTGATAAAAGAGACATAACCATGGTCTTTTTTATTGTTTAAAATCGAACGAGAGTTTAAATAGATTTTCAAAATAACAAACATGCACCATTATGTTAAAGCGTTGATATTTACCGATTTAATGTGTTTGCCAATCCAATATTCTAACACTGTAATATGTAGTGAGATACATCATTTGTGTCTGCTTGACTGACAACTGAAATGCCAAGTTACGTCCAGCGAAAACGTTTTCCCAGCACAGATATAAGCAACTGAAACAAAACAAAGACAATGACAGAACGATGATAAATTAAATTAGAACCAAATAAATAAAAATTCCGCCAAACCTGATATGGATGCTTCGTACTCAGACTCCTGAATCAATCTGGATAACCTCAAAACGTCATCATCTACGAAGAATCACGTTCGTTCATTTTATTTTACAAAAAGTTTACAACTTATAGGTACAGGATATTTCTACAACCATACATATTCAATACATGCTTACCAGAATCAAACGTTAACGTTAATGTGTAAAATAACTGAATTTGATATACCAGTGATAATACTATCAATTCTTTTAACTGTAGAATCATTTCGGCTTCACGTCTAAATTACATGTGTACAATACAGTTATTATATAACAATTACATACATAGCTTTCATGCAATTGAACATGTACATGTAATAAGGAGAGTAATACATGCCATACATATGTATATATATATATAAGACTATGATACTCGAGAACGTTGCTTAAATGCGAAATGTATGAACTTTCCTAGATTGTTTATTTCTCTAACATTATTTACACTAAGTAATTGCATAAGTTTAAACACACTTGGTTTGCGATAATAGTATGGCTTTAAGTATTTAGAGCGTATGTTGCAATAAAATGGACACTTCAAAATAAAGTGAAATTCGTCCTCTATATCATTGAGATCACATAAGTCACATTCCCTTTCGGTCCTAGCAGTATTCGTATATATATCAGAAGGAAGCACACATAATACCATGATAAACAAACCTGTTCACCTCTAGAATAACTATGAATTATTTGTACAATAATTTAAGCCCAGATGAACCGTAAAACTGTTCTGTAAAGCAAACAATGAAAATCGATATACATCATGTATTGGTTATCACTACTTAAAAGCCTTCGAGAACAATGGTCAACATTTGACAAACGACGGATTAGCTGCATGAGGTATTATGTCTGTGCAGCATAAGATCAAACAAGTATCCATTATTCTGAGATGAAGCCAGGTGGAAGTTACTCTCTCTGATTACAAGGTGACTGCTTTCTAGCGTGTTGATATACTCTAATTGTGTAACAAAAATATTTTCATTGGCAAATAATTGTCTTTTTAACCGGAAGTTGTCGTTCGTGTGAAATTCCTTAATATTTAGATATTGGAAATTGCCCTTTTTATCTTTTTATTTGTACAAACTTGTGTTTTTCTCGGGTTCTAGCTCTCCTGAGCGTGGAGCGAGACTAATCCTGTTGACACGAGTTATTATCACACAAAACCCAAGTGTGACGTTTACTCCTTTTACACCTGTCAGAGGCGCTAGGATCAAACGCTTTCCACACCTGTGCCACGGTAGAAAACTTTAGACCAGAAATTGAAAATATCTCTCAGTTTGTACAGTTTTGATGTTTTCCACAAAGCCATAATTTCATTCGATTGAAGTTTACTGGACATGGATAAAACTGTTTGCTGTCTGTAATGAGTTAAAGGAACGTGAACGCTGTGTTAACTATCTACTATATCGCAGGTTTTGATAGAAGAACGATATATTTCCTTCGCGATAAATGCTGCGTAACCAATGGCATAATGATTTTGTTCTCATATAGAGCTCTATCTACCATATATATACTCTGAATTCCCGATGGTTACATTTGGTGAGGGTGTTGATTTACACACATATCTGACCAAAGTTTCGTTATTTGCATTTTTGTGTGTGGTTTTGTCCGAGATAGAAAATAGTTTTGTGGGAATCTATATTTCTGTACTTAAAATAAATAATGGACAAGACCATTTTTTGTTAACTTATCGGTAAGCGAACCGTGTTTAAGCATACCTGTATACATCGTAACACGTTTTGAAATAATAGTATTAACGTACAAAAGGGACAGGTGCCCTAGTACAGACGTTTTTTCATGGAAAGGTTTGTGTATGCACTATCCGAAATCTGATGACGTGAATTAAAGAATGATGTTTTGATGTAGAGGAAACAAAGGGATTGTTTGAGTCAGGTCGTACCAGGTTTACGCAACATAAGACCCCCGCACAAAGGTCTCCGGACAACCTGTGACCACATTTGGGTCCGCATCGCCGGTTTTATATGCGACCTGTAGAAAACACGTATTGCATGTAACAGATGTAACCCAGTGTTCCTGCCTGAGGAAATCCCTCTGTGGTGCTCTGTGTGGGCAAATAACGTACATATGTTTCACTCCAAATCATAGAGTCATTTATAGAACAAAGACTTTAGCGGTAGCGATACGCAAGTTATGACGTAGATACGTAACACGTGGTTGCGATTTGCACGGTTTTCGTAATATCAGGATTAAAGAACATTCTAACACTTTTAAATATTTCACTTTATCGAATACGTCGATATATGCGTAGCTCTGATCAATGAACAGTATATATTTAGAAATCAGAGATAAATTGTTTATCATAAACACACATTTTAAGTTTTTCAAAGATAACTGAGATGCGAGTTATAGCAAAAATGATATTCTAGATTATTTAATGTTTGAGGAAATAGGGGATTATTATGTCCCCGGAATAGAACCCTATTACCCTATACAGTACATGCTTTGTAGTGGTACGGCGAAGAGTCGTTGGAATACAATGTCATGTTTTCATAAAGATTTATGATATTGACCGAATAACAAGAATAACATAGTGCCTATATTAATAAAATAACTGAAATATTGTTGTTAGCAAACTGAACACAAGATTATGGGACTATAACGGTAGGATTATCAAATTTAGTCTATATGACATATAGATAACTCAGCTCGTGAATACATCACGTTTCCATGACAACGAGGGTATTAAGCTTACACAGCGAGTCAACCTGTCGCCCAGGTGTGCGTTTCTGTGATCAGAATACACATCTGTATACAGGTAAGAGTCAGGTAGATTCATCAAATGCCGACAGGTACATATTAGGGTCGTTACGAGTAGCGCAGTCAACAAACCATCTTACCCTAATGTGCAAATCATCAACTTCTGACGAACGCCCCTTCGCACCTGCCAACCTACCTTTCCCTCCCATGATCAAGGTCAAGGTAAATGTCAGCTAACAATTTACCGTACGATATTATCATTATAATGTATGTATTAGCCGTATCGTTATATAAAATCCGCCGTCAGACTGCCTGGCGTCCATTTTCAATGTCCACTATTGGCAAGCAATTTTGAAAATCCTTTCGTTAAGTCGGAGATTCTGGTACAAATAACTGTGACGCGAGAATTTATTCTGACATAGTTCAACATGACAGAGCATTTTAAGAATAGATTACATGTTGCACCAAAACGATGTATGTTTGTTATGTTATACTAGTGAAGGGTCTATATAAGCAACTTTACCATTCTGTTATTTCTACATAAATGTTGCAAGACGCCATGCATACATTTTCATTCCTTTTAACCTGAAGTAACACTGATGAACCATAAATGGACGAAATGGCCATATGGTGTAGAACAAATGTTAACATTGTTGTCCTTCTGCATTGTTTAACTCAATTTTCAAATAGATGCTTCCTTACTTTTTATCATTTTTCTGTGTTTTCCAAAGACATGAATACAATTTAGATCCCGTTTAATAAACGCATACATAAACTACTGATTAAACGCCATCAACGAAACAACGCATGAGTTACCGGTATATAGTAATAGCTCACTAATGTGTAATTAGTGTTGGTACAAATCATTGTATTGTCTTATTACTTTTTGCAAATATATATAGATGTATTATCGGTATATCTATAGCTCACTAATGTGTAATTAGTGTTGGTACAAATCATAATATTGTCTTATTACTTTTTGCAAATATGTATAAATGTATTATCGGTATATTTATAGCTCACTAATGTGTAATCAGTGTTGGTACAAATCATAATATTGTCTTATTACTTTTTGTAAATATCTATATAAAGACATTATCGGTATATTTATAGCACACTAATGTGTAATTATTGTTTGATTCAACAAGTATATAGTCTTATCACTTCTTTGCCAATATATATAGATAAATATCCTATGCATACCAAAATATATACGCTTGTTTGGATCTAGTGACTGTAATGAACGTTTCTGTTGTGATCATAAAAATTATATCTATATAATTGTAAGACTCGCTGGTCCGAATGTCCTTCCCGTACTAAAGTATTCGAAATACACACAATATAACAAACCCACCTGTTAGTTAGTTATTCAGCTACCTGTAAAATTGCTTTTGTGTTTGAAATGAAAAACGACCTACAAGTGCTTGAGTATGTCTTTTTAGATTCACTGGAAAAATTAGACCTTTGAGTCGACCCTTTTCTCCCACTTCCGCCGTAGATGGTCATTTCCTGTTGGTGGCCAGGTGATACCCAATGAGGTCATGACATTCGGCCAGGTAACGCACATAAACGGGTGATACTGATCTTTATGACAACGCGATTGTTATTTGTTTAAGAACTATACAATTATATCAATTTATTTCCTTTCAGTTCCTTTTGAATTCTGTTTAAAATGGCTTCTTAAATATCCTCTTAATGGTGAGATATAGGACCCTTCGGTTGAGTACATCACAAGCGATTAGTGTTAAAAGCAACACCCTTAAACAGATCGAACACTGAAGTTATCGTATAACACAAAATTAATGGCCTTTTTAAAGAATGGACAGCAGCCACCTGACAACGCCAAGTTCTCGTTGTTACGCTTCTAATCATTGGTCGCCCGTGGCGAACTCTCCTGTGTGAAAAAGGCGAATATTTTCACTTCCTGTGATTACATTTCAGTATGTAAATGAATACAAGAGAATGAAGTCAAAGTGTTTCCCAGGTTAATGCATCACCAGTAATGTTGAATTACAGTGTTTCAGCGTAAACAGTTCTAAAAAATGAAAGTTCTTTATAGGAGCATGAGGATAAGGCGTTCAAAAAAGGGGATCGGTTTGTTACACTTCAAAATGAAATCGAGTACAATTCAGTAATTAATTCGTTGAAATAGTACTGTTGATCGTTATGCTCATCAAATGATTATCAAAGACGGCTGTTTGTTTGACACCCTGTGGACGGTGTGTAAAATGAAATCAGTTATTTATTCCACTGTAAGGATTCAGATTCTGTGCTCTGATTTAAGGGAAAAGAATCTTTCAAAATGTTTTTTATACATATCTTATA